AACCGGCCACCTGCTGGGCCATGAAGTTTCAACAAATTTCCTACTGCAATACAGGTGAGTTAGACGTCGGCGACAAGACAGAAAACGCAGTCCACCGGCAGACCTCACATCCACGAGGATGGCGGCTCTCCAGACAACGGACACCGCTCCAGGCGACGGAATGTGGAGAAGTCGGAGCCTCGCGCCGTCGGGGAATGCGAGGCGGGGCAGCCGCTGTGGGAGCAGGGTGCGGGCTCCTCGAACAACGAAACACGGACTGCCTGCCACGCGCCCCGCGCCCCACTCCTGGCGCCCACCCACAGGAGCGAGCGCGGGGTCTCGGGGAGGGGGCTGCACGCCGTGCTCACAGCAGCGTGTTCGCTGCCCGAACGTGGACGCGACCCGAGCGTCCGTGAACGCACGAGGGTGAGCCATCGTGGTCCGTCCTCGCGGTGGAAGGCGACTCGGCCTCGGAGAGGAAGGAAACGGCCGCAGAGACAGAAAGTAGAGGGAGGGACACGGGGAGCGAGTGTCTGGTGGGGACGCAGTGTCGGTTTGGGGAGACGGTGGTCGTGGCTGCACAGCAATGTGAATGCATGTAACACCACAGAACTAGACACTTTAAAATGGTTACGATAGGACATTTTGTGTCACGTGTATTTTGCCACGATAAAAAAAAAATGAAGACGGGTCCTTAGAGAGGCAGTTAAGTCGAACGAGATCACCGGGGTGGCCTGGTCTGACGGCGTGTCCTTATAAGAGGAAGAAATTAGGACAGAGACAGGCGCAGAGGACAACCACGTGAGGACACAGGGACAGGACAGTGTCTACACGCCCAGGACAGAGGCCCCGCGAGAAACCGGCCCGCCGCACCTGTGTCTCGGGCGCCCAGCCCCTGGGACGGGAGATTGCTGTCGGCTGCCTGAGCCCCGTCTGGTGCTCATCACAGCAGCCTCGAACATGAGCACAGAGTAAAGGAGAAATACCTTACGATCACCCTGGTAGATGAATAACTATAACACAGTTCAACATCCATTCATGACTTTTTATAACTGGCTGACTAGGATTAAAACTGAACTTCCTGTGTTTAGACATGTGGCGGTCACCAGCTGGGCTCCTCATTTTCCAGGTGAAGCAAGGACCCGGGGCCACAGGACCAGCCCCGCCAAGGCCACCCCATGGGCTTAAAGGTGTCTCCCTGCCCTGTTAACGAGCAGTCTCGGCCATCCAGACCTAAACAAGGGATGTGAGGTCAGGAGTATCGGTCCCCTCTGGGGACCCAGGCCCACATCGGGGAGTTGGGCCTGGCCCTGCCCGGAGACCCAAGATCAGGGGGATAGAACTCGAATGAAGACAAGAGCCTCTCACCGCCGTGCTGGACCGGGCAGCACTCACTAGAACATTCCACACACATGTGCACACACGCATGTACATGTGCGCACAGAAGACATGTGCATGCACACGCCTACACCGCCATGTGAGCACACATGCACGTGCACAATCACATGTGGGCACATAGACACGTGTGGGCGTGCGTGCGCTGTGCTCGTGGGCACATGCACGTGTACACACACATGCACACATGCGCGTGTGCCTTGCTACGTTCCAAATGGCAAGACATTTACAGGCCTCCTCATTTAAAGCAATACGGGGAACCTAGAAATTAACAGGACCTAAGAGAGAAGCCACGTGGTTCGCAAGCCCAAAGACCCTCTCCTAAGTGACTTCTTGTCAGAGAGCAAACAATAGTGGCTCATTCACAGCCACACATAAAAAGAGGCCGCACGTCCGCGGAGCCCACGTCAGCGGGAGTTGGCGGAGGATTCACGGCCTTAAATGTTTTTATCATCGAGCAAGAGACTGAAAATAAATGAATTAAACGTTCGACACAGGAGGGGAAACAGAACCATAAAGTAAACGCACGGGAGGCCGGAGAGGATGGAGATAAAGGCGAATTAATGAATTGGAAACAAGAGGAATGGGAGCGGCAGCCAGTAAATCCGAGAGCTGTTCCCCGAAGTCAATGAGATGCGCCAGCCTCCGGCCGGCCAGCGCCAGAGACGCCAGGCGCCAGCGAGGGCCGCGGCCGGCGGCAGAGTCGCAGAGATGGGAAGTGACAAGTCAATACGCTGGGTATTCCTGATGAAACCGAAGATTTCCTACGACAATATAAATTACCCAAACTAGAGAGGTGTGAAGCGCTAGCCGTAACCGCAGGAAAGCAGAATGAGGGGGGTGGCTGGGCGTCGGGCACCTTCGGGAGGGTCAGGCTGCCGCAGCAAGGGGCAGCGAGGTCAGGGGCCAGGGAGAGTGGGGCAGGGGCTCGGCACCCATGGGCTGGTGGCCTCGTGAGGGGACCAGGGTCTCGTCCCCGGCCATCCAGAGCGCTGGGGTGAGGGAAGCCAGGCGGGGCTTGCCCGTGACCCTTCTTCATGCGAACAGGCGCCCCGTGTGGGGTCAGGTGGAGCGGAGGCGGGCAGGGACGGGCGGGCAGAGGCCGGCCTGGGGCTCCCCACAGCTCGGTGGCGGCAGCGCCCGGGCCGGTGTCCCGCCCGCAGCAGTGTCCCACAGCCGCTGCGTCTCCTTCGGTGATCCGGTCACCGCCTGCCCCGCGCTCTCCTCTCCGGTCGGCTCACGCGCTGTTTTCCCAGGAGCTTGTCATTTCCCCAAGTTCTTCACACTGTCCCTTGGTCGTCGTGGCCTCCGCGGCAGCCTGGGCTTTGTCCCTGTGCCAGCCGTACGGCTCGGTCGAGGACGAGGCGGTGGGTGTCCTCGCTGTCCGCGGGCCTCTTCCCATGGCTCTGCTCTGTCGCCGCAGTCAGGGCTCAGCAGAGGACGCGTCTGTGCCGGGATGAGGAGGGGGTGGGAGAGGGGACTATCTGGCAGAGGCCACGGTGGCCCTCGGGACCCACTTACCACCTGGCCCTTCCCGAGGCTCGGTCGAGGACGAGGCGGTGGGTGTCCTCGCCCCGGCTGCCGCCCGCGCCTCCGCTGTCCACGGGCCTCTTCCCATGGCTCTGCTCTGTCGCCGCAGTCAGGGCTCAGCAGAGGACGCGTCTGTGCCGGGATGAGGAGGGGGTGGGAGAGGGGACTATCTGGCAGAGGCCACGGTGGCCCTCGGGACCCACTTACCACCTGGCCCTTCCCGAGAGTCTGCTGGCCTCTGCCCGATGTCCCACGTTGGACGCCCAGGTCACGAATTTCTCACTTTTATTTGTTCTAATGTGGCGGTTCAGGGATGCGAACGCCCCGCCCGTGACGACTGCGGATGCCTGACCGGCTTTAACGTTCATTTTTCCCATCGCTCGGCTCCAAGTAGGTTCTGACTGGGATTTCCTCCTTGACCCGGGAGCTATACAAAAACTTTCCAAACTTCTAAACACAGGAGGCTTCATTTGCCATCTTTTAGTTACTGATTTGTGCTGATAAAACATGGTCTATACGAAACCAAGCTCTTGAGAATTCCCGGCACGCCCGTTCTGGCCTGTGGCGGCCGGTGTGACACCTCCGCGTGCTCCTGAGCGAGTGCGACCCCCCAGCCGACAGCAGCCATGTCCAGACGGCCGCGCAGCCTGCTCCACATCGCTTGCTTTCGGGTTGACCTGACCAGCTAAGCGTGGAGAGAGGACCGTCCGAGGCCCCCACTGGACGGCAGGCGAGCGGACTTCTGCCCACGTCGCTGTCCGTTTCTGCGGCAGCGTGTAACTTCCAAGCGTCCCTTCTGCAGCCTGGGGAGTTCGCTTCCCGCCTGCACCCCCACCTCCCGCCACCTCCTGGCCCGCCCACTGCCCTCTGGGCCCCTACGCCATGACACAGGCCCTGCTACCAGAATGGCCGTCCCAGGAGGCTCTCCAGAGGGCCCGACACCACCATGACGCCCTCCGGGCCCCCGTCCCAGCTCCCCGCTGTCCCAGAGGCCACAGGTGGGCAGTGCCCTGCAGGCCCCCGCAGCTCGGCAGCCTGCCATCTCGAGCACCACCGGCCCCCACCCCACAGCCCAGAGCAAATCGCTGGGTAGTGACCATTAGTGACACAGGCACCTGCATGGAGCCCATCTCCAAAAAGTCACCCAAATACAAGCTGCCAGTGCAGAGCCTGGCACTTTGTTGAAAGTCCTGTGCAGGGTCCCAGAAGAGAACCACCCCGCCCCCCACCAAGGACCCCCAGGTGGTGGCTCTGCGGTACAGGTGACACGTTCAGGTTCAGCACGACCCCAAAGGGCCCTCTGCTTCTCAGGTGCCCACAGGCTCCTGTCCCACTCGAGGCCCATGATGGGCCACTCGCGATGCCACAGGGCTGAGGACGGGGGCAGCTGCGCCCGGTCCGGGGCCCTCGGCACCTCCCATCTTTCCTCCGTAAATGAAACCGCCGTCCAAGCGGCGCCCGAGTGGGCCCGCACCAGTGACTTTAACTCCCACTGACTGACTGGACCCCAGAATGCTCTGCGGCAGGAGGGAGGCGCCCAGCACACCCGGCCTTGTGCCTGGTGCTGCCCCACACGGACGCGGCTGCCTGCCCCACACGGACACGGCTGCCTGCCCCGGGAGCCCGCCAGGCTCTGAGCCACCCAGCCCTGGGAACACCAGGGCCCCCGGACGACAGCCTGAATTTTAACTTCGGCTCTGCGGGATGTGCCACACCGGGCACTGCTGAATTTTGCCCTGGGGCACAGGGGTGGCCTCAGGGCCACCAGGCCGGCTGTGCAGGGCGGGCCTGGCAGGGTGGGGGCCGGGGGCTGGGCCTCAGGAGGACCCATCTGGGAAACCATGACAGTGGTTTATGCAAATTTTCTCAGGGAAAAAAAAAAATCAAGAAAATTTCTCCAAAGATTACTAATGTTTCCTGTTGCTGTCACAAATGCTCTCCTCTCACCCAAAGCTCCTAGGTCGAAGTCTTTAGCAGAAACCCCTGTTGTTTCGCTGAAACGAGCAAGGAAAAGCAGCAGAGCCGTCCGTCCTGCGCGACGCCAAGGCCAGCGGGCCCGCTTTACACCTGGAGACGGAACTGACACGCAGAGGTCACACATGCAAAGCAAATGCCTTTTATTGAAGCCACAGAATGGATGCTTCCAGGACCGCTGTCCTCACGGCCCGGCCAGAAGCCCCAGGTCCTGCACGCCCTCCTCGGCCAAAGAGCGCCAGCCGGCGGCCCCGCGGCTCGGCCCCGCTCCACTCGGCAGGCAGGAAAACAGGTGGCAGGCCGGCCGGGCAGTGCACGGGATGGCCGCGGCTGCGGAGGGCTCGGGCCTCCGGCGCCCGAGGCCGTGTTCTGAGCAGCTGAACAGTGCGCGGTGCCCATCCCGCACACAGGCGTTCCCCAAGGGACTGACCCGCACCACAGCCTGTGCGCGCTCCTGGCTGACACGGCGCCTTCTGAAAATCCACCTCCAAACAGATGCTTCGACCAGAACTGTAAAAGCCGTGGGAACGCAAAGGACTTCTTTAGGGACGACTGAACCCAAATCACACTGACGTTTGAGATGACACGTCTGCACCCGACGGCCGCTGCCCCCCTCAGTTGTTCTCGATCTGCTCCAGGTCCAGCTCGCTGCGGTCCAGAGGGAAGACGCCCTCCTCCCCGGCACTGTCCCAGTCACTCAGGTCCCCGCTGCTCCCGCCCTCGCCAGCCACCGGCCCCCCAGACGCCCACGGGCCGGGGCTGCTGGGATGGGGCCCGGGACACGTGCTCAGGGAGCTAGAGCCAGAGGTGACAAGACCCGTGAGGCCACGTGGGTCACGTGGGGAGGACACAGCCGTCTTCACTCCAGTGTCATCCTCATCTTCATCTTCGTAATCGAGGGAGCAAAGGCTTTTCGAGTTTTTTAAAGTCTGCAACAGAAAAGACACAGGCTTCAAGCACCCAGGAGGGTTCACGGGCGGGGCGCCCTGCCGGCCCTGGCAGGTCTCCGAGTCACACAAAGCGCCCCCTATGCCCTGAGCCTCAGCCAATGCCTCCCCTCAGGAAGGCCATCTCAGAGCCCTGGGCGTCCACATCCCGGGCCTTTCCCCAGGTGGCCAACAGGCCCTGCCACTGCCTGTCGGGCACCCACGGGAGACCCGTGTCCTGGCCCCACCCGGACCACCGCGCCAGGCCGTGGGTGCCCAAACCCAGAGCAGAGACGCCAGGGACTAGAGCGTGGCGGGTGCTCGGGAAAGGTGGGCCGGGAGGGTCCCAGGTCCAGCTCCAGCTCCCGCTAGGTGAGTCCCGTGTCCCTCACCTGTGTCCGGGGCCCACCTCACCCAGCTCTGCACCCTTCCCTCCCCAGACCCCTCTCCCAGCAGCTCTTCACACACGAACATGCTCGAATCTTTCTCATCTCAAAACACTCGAGGCAGACGCCACACACAGGGCCTCCTCTCCCCCTCAGAACAGCCTCCCCGCTGCGACCGGCTCCCCAGATGGGCCACTGCCACCCCAGGACCCCAGCCAACCTCCCCCGCACCGGTGAAGACAGGGGTCCCCAGGCCTGCTCCCCCAGACCGGAGCTCACCCCTCAGCTGCAGTCAAGGCCCACCTCTCGGTGGCACCTCTCCCTGGCTGTCACACAGGGGCTGAGGCCTGGAAGACCACCCAACCCACCTTTGGGGTGGCTCGTCCCAGGCCGTGTAGCGGGAGTGGGCCCCGGCCACAGCCCCTCATCACAACCAGGGCCATCGCCCCCCACGCCACCCGCAGAGGGCTCCGCACTCCTGGTCCCCACTGCCACGCCTCTGCCGCAGCAGCCTCCCACCTGGCTCTGCCTGTCCAGGTGTCACCTCGGCCTCCGGCCCTGGGTCACACACACCCTGACCCAGTCACATCGCCACCTTGCTCGGACCTTCTACAGGGAGCTTGCTGACCAGGGGTGTGGCAATGCACGTGGTGACACCAGCCACGGAGACGGCCACCCCAATGCCCAGGCTTCAGTTCGGTGCGCACACACGGACACACCTGCGCTAACAACCGCGCAGCCGCCAGCCCCCGACCACCTCCATCTGGAGCACGGGACGCCCCTTCTGGCTGGAAAACTGCCTAGAAACAGTCCCACAGGGCGCCACGGCCAGCCCACGCCCCCGGGGGACGGCGGTGCTCCCGGCCGGCTACGTGGCTCTGCGACAGACGGTGTGGCCTCGTTCCCACCGCTCTGCTTCTTTACTCTAGCAAGTGAGACTCTGAAAAGTAAAACACTAAAGAATCACATCTTTAAAGATCCTCCTGGCCACCCGTTTTGGGCACAAAGTGAGGGTTCACGAGATCATTTCTTCTTTATTCAAATCCACGTGGGTTTGGCACGGCCGGGCCTAAGGACAGGGCTGTGCCCGCCGCCTGCTGGAAGAGCCCAGGCAGACCCGTGGCCCCGCGGGCCGCCCCATCACTCCGCGGGCTGCGGCCACCACCTGGGTCCACATGTGGATGGCGATGAGCCCACAGCACAGAGGGCCCAGCTCCGCACACGCGGGCTAACAGGGCGTTGCGTGTCCTTTCTTAACCACTGCCTGTGATGTCTCCTTGTGATTCGCACAAGTCGAACCTTCTAAGCCAACGGCGGTCACCTGACAGGTGAGGGCAGAACCACTGAGGACAGGTCACCTACAGACCACGGCTGTGTGGCCTGTGTGTGACAACAGCAGGCTCAGGCCGTCTGTGAAGGACAGAGCCGCGCCGGGAAGCGCGCACGCAGAGCCCCAACCTGCAAACGCGGCCCCCCACGGACACGCGCCTCCCGCCGCAGGAAGCTACGATGACCTGCCCTGGGGCCCAACCTGACATGGTGGCCCCTGTCACTGGACACTACTGGCTTCTGCTACCGTCTCTCTGGTTTGATAATAACCTGCATGTAAGCAGATGAATGGGAAATTTTTCCAAAATCAAAGATCAAGACTTGAGTTCTTAATGGTAGAGGATCTTTCAACTCGTGTGCAAACGGCTGTCCCATGGGATGCTGGGTAAGAGCACCGCTGACCATCCCCACCACCCGAAGCCAAGTTAACACAGAGACACCTGAGCCAGCAGATCCTGAAAACACTACGCAAACCCTCCCATGAGCCACCCTGAGTCCCCTCCAACAGTGTCCAGGCCTGGCCGGCCGCCTGCATCCGCCTCTAGCCAAGGCGTCCACTCTCTCCCACGAGCTGCACAGCCTGCTCTCAAGGAGCACAGCTTCGGCCGGTTCCGAGACCATGCGAGAGGCTCGCGCAGCATCTGTGCTCGACCGGAGCTGGCCAGCTGCCATCAGCAGCCGCTCCCAAAGGCCAGGGCTGAGCAGGAGCCCAGAGCGGGGCCCCCAACTGCCCACGAGCACCCGCCATCCAGCACACGTGTGCACTTGACCAACAGGGCTCCAGATCCACCGGCCATAAGCGGCTCCATGGAGCCGGCCTGGCTGACCCCAGAGCACCTTCCTCGCCCAGCCAAAGGGAGAGGGCCAGGCCAGAGAGGCCTGAAGGGCTCGGTGGGTCCACCCTGCAGTGAGACAGAGATGGCCAGAGGTGAGGGCACCTGTGTGCATCCAGTGGACTCACATGCGGGCAGATACACCAAGACCCTCCCAGGTCCTCCCTGCCTCCTGCAGGAAGGCCAACGGCCCCGCCGGGCCCCCTCCTGAAGCCTGGCTCCCCCCCCGTGTCACTGGATGACGGAGGAGCGAGGCGGTGCCTGGCACCCCTCACACGCACATGCTTCCAGGGCCACCTCGCTGCAGCAGGAGACTGGGCTCCCGCAACACCCCGCTGGCTGCGCCTCCCAGAAAGAAGGTGGAGAAGACAAGTGGGAGGTGTGACCGTGGCGGACGCTCCCGCGGCCCTTTCTGCTGAGCCGTTTCTGCCCAGAGGGAGGAGGAACCCGCAGCCGGCATTCCGTTCCGGAAAGTCCCCGAGCCGGCCTTGGCCTTGGCACGGAGGGCGGGGGCCGCGGACCGACAGCTCTGGGCTCCTGACAGCCGTGTGCCCGCGGGCCTGCCCTCCGTTAACTAGCACGGGAGCCCCCGAACGCAGTCGGCACTGACCAGGAACTGCCTGCCGCCTGAGAGACTCCTCGCGGCCCCCTCCCACCCCAGCGTGCCCCTGCGGTCACAGAGGCCGGGGCCCAGAGCCCAGGCCACCCGCTCCCCGCCAGCCCCACCTCCGGCTGCAGCCTGATCCCACACGTGGGTGCAGGAGACGAGCAGGACAGGGTCTCCCTCCTCCGCGGTCCAGGTGGCCACGGAAAGGCCGCAACCTGTCCGACCCCAGCCTGACCCCTCTCGGGAGCCAAGGTCCTCTTTTACGTCACAACTGTCGCGTTCACCCAACCACATGACGACTCTGGGATGACACGCCCAGAGTCAGGTGGCTCTCAGGACAGCCGTGTCCACCATAACAGGTCAGGACATCCCTCTGTCCACCCAGCGCCCCCGCCAGGAAGTCTGGGCTTGGGGGCCCTGCCCAGCCACGGGGAGGACGCTTCAGAAAACCCAGCATTCAAGAAAGGCAAGGTGACAGTGATGTCCAGGGCCACACTGCTGTGGAAGGCCTGGTTCCGTCTGGGTTCTGACCGTGGAGAGCCGCCCCAGGCCATGCTCTGGAGCCACACGCCCCACGTGGCCCACACCCGCACCCCCTCCATCCTCACCCCAGCAGGCCCCATTTTCGCTTCCTCAGCCCCCTCCCCCCACAGCAGGTCCCCAGGAAACGAGATCGTGCCGCACGCCTGGGCTCCGTCTTGCTCCCCACGATGGCCCTGCAGTGACGGTGCGGTGATGTCGCGGTGACGTCGCGGTGACGTCGCCCTCCAGACACATGGAGGTGCCGCACTCTGGGCTGTGTCTTCCCTCTAGCTCTGCTCGGAACGGCACGAGCAGAAAACAGGGTGGAAGAGACTGGTGGGCCCGCCCGCCTTCAGTCTGGCCCACACCCCAAAACACAGCACACGCTGTCCCCAAAGAGGTGTCAGCAGAGGCCGTGGCAAAGACCCCAAGGAGAAGTCTGGATCAGAGCGGAGCTGGCTCAGCCCTGGATGGCCTAGGACGGCCCCCACATCCCAAACTGTCACCCAAAGAGCAGCTCAGGGCCCTGCTCCCCGCTGCGCCCCCTGCAAGCCAGACCCAGACCCAGGGCCAGCGTGGACGGAAGGGGGCGAGGAGCGGGCAGCGGGCGGGAGGCGTGGCCGCAGTGCTGCTGCTGGCGACGCTCTGGCCTCGGACTCGCTGAGTCCGCAGTACGCCCCTGAAGCTGCGCAGAGAACACAGCCCCGTGCCAGCCAGCCTGTCCCCAGACCCACCCACGGGGAGGAGCGGCGTTGAGAGGTCTGCACGGGACGCAGGAGGAAGCCTCACCCGCGTCATCTTCAGAAAGTCCAGGGACGGGCGCGGCCACCGAGCGTCCCCCTCTCGCCGGCGCTTGAGCCGGCCCCTCCTCCCGGGGAGCACGCAGGGCTGCGAGCGGCTCCGGGGCAGGCCCAGCCGCCGGCCCGGTTCGGGCGTGCAGGGAGGGCTGCCCACGTCCGCCAGGTGCTCCTGCGACAGGGACAGGCGGCGACGTGAGGACAGTGCACAGGGACCAGCAGGACACCAGGGCGGGCCCGTGCCACCCCTGCTGCCATCCGCAAAGCCACTGCTGGCAGAGGCAGGCCGGGGAGCTGGGGGTGGGGTGGGGCTGGCCTCGGGGAAGGCCCCGCCTGGCGACTCGGTGCTCCCCAGCAGGCTGGGGCCCGGGCCCCCCTGCAGCGTGGCGCTCCCGCCACTGTGACACCGTCTCTTGGAGACCGGAGTCCAGACCTTGGAGCCGCCAGGGCGCCACGGGGACCGGCAGCGGGCCAGCTCGTCTGGCTCGGATAGGGACCGGCAGTGTCGCTTGGTGGGTGGTGCCAGGGGCGGCCCCGAACTCTCCCTGAGGTCCACGGAGCTGACCGCACCGAGGCCCCCGCTTGGCCCGCAGGGGCCTGGAGGGAAGGGGAGAGCAGGGCCCGTGGCCACCTGGCTTCCGACAGGCTGTCCTCCACTTAAGACCGTCCAAGGGCGCCTGTCTCCTGGGGAAACAGGAAGGAGAGACAGGTGAGCAGCAGGCACGCATACCCCCCTCCACGCCATGGGGAACAGGAAGGAGACAGGTAAGGAGACAGGTGAGCAGCAGGCACGCAGACCCCCCGCCACGCCATGGGGAACAGGAAGGAGACAGGTAAGGAGACAGGTGAGCAGCAGGCACGCAGACCCCCCGCCACACCTCGCACCCGCCAGCCTCAGGGCAGGGCCACGCCGCCAACGGACACACAGCCATGGGTCCCAGGGGCACTGAGGAACCGAGTACATTGGGTGTGGGGCGTCCCCACCACCGTGGGTGCCAGCCCCTCCTGCCTGCCCGGCCGCTCGGTCGTGCCATCCCGCACTTCTTCAAGGGTGTGGTCAGAGGGCAAGGGGAGGGCCCCGCAGCCAGTAGCCCCAGGGGCTCTGGGCAGGGACGGGCCACGGGCTGGGCGCCGGGCCACCTCCTACTTCCATCGGTCCTCGGGGCATCTGGGAAAAACCTGCACGTGAGGAGTCTGGGGTGCCACCTAACACGAGATCGCCGCCAACGGCCGTGGTGACCGGAGGGAAGGCAGGCCTCAACTCACCTACAAGTCACACAGCCAACACGCTTCACTGTGACCACTGACACCGAGCCCAGGCTTGTCAGAAGCACACGTGCCATCGAGCTTCTCACACTCGAACACTCACACCCACATACTCTGTGTACCCTCATTTTCACACTCACGCTCTGCTCACTCGTACTAGCTTACACACATTCACACTCAGTCATGCTTGCACACAGGCACTCGTGCACCTGTACACTGATGCTCATGTGGTCATTCACACTCATTCACACTCGCATGTACACACACACGCGGGGCGGCTGGGCCACCTGCCCCATTCAGGTCACAGGGCACGTGTGGAGGCCGTGCCCTGGAGGGGGTGAGCCAGTCCCACACACTACCGGGCATGACCGTCCCCGACACACACCGCTGGCCCAGCATGTGCCACACGATAGCTGCAGCAAACGCCGCGTGCCTCGCCTGTCCTGGCCACAGGATCCCGGGGGGCAGCCTTTCCCTAAGAGCGTCAGCCCCAGGTCCCGCGGGCCTGGCCTCCCAGACTGGCATGGGGAGAGGCCGCGCGCGCCGACCTTCTCGGCGTAGACCGTAGACCGCTGTTCGTGGCTTTGGCTCCAGACGTCAGTCTCCCGCTCGATGCAGCTCCCGGCCCAGGAGCGCGGCCCAGCCCCGCTCACAGCCTGCGGCCACCGCAGCCCAGGAAAACCCGCCGGGCTTACAAACACTTACCATGGGTCTCAAGAGGGAACAGACAGCCACTTTTGCTCAGTTTCTCAGCAGAATACTGAAAGTGATGAGAAAGAAGTTCCACGTGAGACTTCAGAACAGGACTAAGAACCAGGCCTGTTTCCATCGCCGCGATAAACCCCTTCCCAACACTGTCTTCTTGGTGACTGAAGAGCAAATCAGTGACCCATGGAATACACCTTTTTCTTAAGGTCTTAAAAGCCCAACAACATTGAACTGAGTAAAGGGAACACTGAGCCACGAGCCTGCGCCTGGAGCGGGCCAGCCCTCCGTCCACCGCCAGCAGCTGCGGCCATGCCGTGGACGGCGGCCTACAGAGAAGGCGCTGCCCCTCTGGGACAAAACTGTCTCTTTTAGCCGTGGCTGCCAGTGACGTCAGGGCCTGCTCGGTGAGCTCCAGGACCTGGCTCGGGCATGGCACCCTGGGGGACTAAGCCCCACCAGAACCCAGAGGCCACATGCAGGAGGTGCGTGTCCTGCCGAGGTCACGCAGCTGTCACTAACCAACTGGCCACTGCGAGACCCCTAGAAACTGGGCAAGACCCCCCATGCTGTGAGGACACGGAGCCCCTGGGAGACGCTGCCACGCATGCAGCAGCCTTTCTACTCAAGAGAAGCGGGGCACGTGACCACGAAGACTGGCGCGTGCGAGCAGCGAGCAGCAGCATCCTCAGCCAGAGACTGGAGACCACCCGTCGTCCTCCGACGGGGCGGCCGCCTATGCGCACCGGCGCCTTTAAAACCCAGATTCGAAAACCCGCGGGGACCAGGGGCTACTGCACAGGACAGCATCGCGCGTTCCGATCAGCAACGTGCAGAGCGAGCTGGGGAGGGGGACACGTGAAGACACATCTCTTAGAGACACGCACTGAAACGTCTACCGAGGACAGACGCCTAGCGGGTGCTGCGAAGCAGCAGGACGGGCTGGGCCAGGGCGCACGGCACAGGGCTGGGCCGGCGGAGCCGCGCTGGCCCGGTGCGTGGGGGCTGCGGCGTTTCTAACTCCCCACTCGCGCCCACATTTAGACGTAGCCACGAAAATACTATTTTAAGTTGCCTTTGAAAACTTCGGTTTCTATTTTTATACAACAAATTGGCTTTTCAACTGATTTGTTTCAGTGGATGTTAAAAGGAACCCGTGTTGAGCCATTTGCCAGTAACGGAAAGAGCTGGTCTCATGTACGAGTGTCACTGACCACCAGAGACAGGGTTCCAGAGTTCTCCCAGAGCTGAGCAACTGTCCTAATTGTAAAGGGTATCAAAGAACCACGTAAACTAAAAGTCAAAAATCAAATGGGCGATACAGACGGCAGAGACTTCTTTCTCAAAAAGATGTGACAATTTGCGTATTTCACTGCACGCAAATTATCTCATTTTTTAAAAAGTGGATGTTAGAAAAAGCAGGTGCTAGAAACAAAGTCCATGGACCAAGTCTACGAAACCACACAGATGCATCAGCGGCGCCCGCTGGGGAGCTGGTGAGACGCATCTGGTGATAAGGGGACCTTTTTCCAAACTATTCACGTCCTGCACGGACAGACCACGAGGCAGACACACGAAGCAAAGAGATTTGTGTGACGTGGGAAGAATTATGCATAGGACTTTTCTTGTCACCTCTTGTCTTTACAGGGAAAATCTGCTTGTCCCTCTCCCCTGCGGAATGTCACCTGACCGGCAGTGGGGAGGGGCAGGGCCCGGCCTCCCCCAGGCCATTGTCCTCTCCTCAACACACACCAGAACTATGCTTCAAACATCTGAACGGCTCCTCTTAACACTGAAAATACTAAAACTGGGGTAAAGGAAAAGTCTGTTCTCCCATTTCAGGAAGAAAAAAGTACTATGAAATAGGCCTTAAAAAAGTCAAGTCTTGAAAAAAAAACCAGTCAACAGCAACAGCACTCAAAAATTGACCTGCGGGGCCAGCAGAGGCTGGAGAGAGCAGCTGGCCCTGGGCCCCTGGCGACACTCACTGGGCCTGCTGCTCAGGGTGCTCTCGAGCGGCCGCTGACAACTGGCCACACGGCCTGCTCTCCAACACGGGGACAAGGCGTTCCCTCAACAGGATGAGAACGACAGCTGGCGCTGAGACTCAGGCCACCTAGGTGGCTCCCAGGGGACCCTGCAGGCACGGTCCTCAGCCCATCTTCCTGGAAAAGCCACCTGGCACCTGGCTGCCGGCTCCCTGCACGTGGCGTCCGCTGACGCACGTGCGGCGTATGCCTTTGGTCTTGGTTAGAGTCTCGTTTCATGGGAAGCGAAGACGGGAGCCTGGGCATGGCGTGTGCGCCGCAGGAGCCCCCTCGGGGCAGGCTCAGGGCACCGGGCCAGGTGGGCGGCACTCTGCAAAGGCCCCGCCAGCCCCCCGGCCACCCTGGGCAGTGGACACCACGGCCCAGCACCTGTGCGCAGCCACACCCCACGCCAGGCACCCCCACTCTGTGGCACTGACCCTGAGACCCGCCGCCCTCTCATCGCGAAGGCCCGGGGCGGAGACAGGACTGCTCAGGCTCAGCCCCACACCCACAGGGGCCGGATACCCAGCCACCTCCTCTGGACCTAAGCTAACCAAGCCAGGGGTGATGTCCTGAAATTCACATTAACACGACCCTAAAAAATAGCCCCCCTTACCCGAAGCTGAAACCCAGAAACCAACGGACGGGGACAGATTCAAGACAGGCTCTCGGGGGCGGGCGTGCAGCTGCCGCATTAGGGCGCTGGCCGCCAGGCGTGCCAGCTCGCAGGCTGCGCACCGAGGGTTTGCACACGCTCCGCACAGGTCAGACTCCCATTAAAACTCGTCACTGATGCCGAACACGCACCACTACGGCGCGGACGGGCTCTGGGGCTGCGCGCCGGGTGTGGGGCAGTGCGCCCGAGGCCTCTGGCTCACCCGGCCGGCGTCACAGCTGCTGCGGGCCAGGTCGTCCAGGCTCTGGTTCTGCAGCTTCTCGGTGATGAGTGTGACCATGGTCGGGGCCGTGCCCTCCGTCCGCACCGGCGGGCACTGGGGCTCCGGCACGTTGGGCTCAGCGGGCCCAGGCGTCGCTGGGTGCGCGTGGACGCTCACTGCACTTCCGTCTCACAGATGAGCGATCCATCGCCAAAGGCTCTTCCCAGCTTCACGTCTGTGTTTTGGCAAAGAGACATCATCACCTGTGACTCGCGTAAAGCCAGTCAGAGTTTGTTCCGTGCTGAGAACCAGCTGCGCAAAGTGCTCCTGCCCGCTCCACCCGACAAAGCCCACCCCCCCAAAAGGACCACACACATTCTCTCCCGGAAAACGCAATAAAAGCGGTGTTCTGGTTTAAGGATGGTGGGCTGAACACACCTGAGAACCCACTCCTCCCAAAGCCCCAGCCACAAGGACAGCCACCCCCACCTCCGCTCCAAAGACAAGAACGCAGGACAGGAGGCACGGCGACGACATGTGAGAGCTAGAAAGCTGCTGGAAAGCCGAGTCTAAGCCATCAGTGCAGAGACCCAAGAAACACCCCACCTGTGACCTGCTGGATGCCCCCCCGACCACTGACCACCGCCCGAACACTCCCCTAACTGCTGACCACACCAGAATGCCCACCTCGCCACTGACCCCTGCCCAAAGCAGTTAAACGCCCCTCCCCCACTCCACCCAACTGAAGCTCTGGGGCGGGGCGGGGGCAGGGCGGGGGCCTGGCGGTGATGCAGGAGATCCGCTCCAGCTCCAGCGCTGAGCCCCTGGCACCAGGAGCGGGAGCTCAGGCCACACCCCGGCAGAACGCAGGAGCCTGCGCAGGGGCCTGGCTCCGTGGACAGTGACAGGGAGAGAGCCACACTCATCACCCACCAGCCGCCAACCCTTCTTGGTGGCAGACTGCTGAGTGTGAGCAGCTGCCGAGGGAGCCAGACGGAGCCAGACAGAAAGACCCCAGCGACCTGGGGCAGACAGACGGGAGAGGGCGACACCTTGACAGTGCCATCACCCCCGCCTTCAGAGAGACAAGGCGCCATGCCATGCCCACGATGGCAGAACAGAAAACCAGTGAGAAGAGCATTTAGAGAAAAAGACAAGCACACTCAGAAACTGAAGCACCAGAGCAGTGACGCCACCGCCAGCATCTCTGGAACTCGGGCTCCTAACCGCCGCCAGGCCTCGCGGCTCCCCCTTCCCAGGGGCCTCCTGGGCCCGGCAGGCCATAGACGGGGTGAGGGCCAGATGGGCCCCAGGCTCCACCTCAAACCAACTCGGTCACCCTCTGGGCCAGCATCACTCATCACGTCGCCCCAGACCTCAGGGTGTCTGAGGAGCATGACCTGCCCACGGGGGCAGCAGCCCACACGCCCCGGCGGGGCCGCCAGGAACACAGGGGCCCCTCTCTCGTGAGACCTGCTAGCAAAACACACCAGCTGGTCTCAGGAGAAACCGTGGAACGTTTCCGGGGACACCGAGATGTCAACAAACTAAACACTCACTGCTTATTCTTACACCCGCACGTGTGCACACTCTTAAATCAACTGACACTCTCAACGTGGCTTTAAACCCCAGGCCCAGAGCCAGCTGCTCACGGGGCGAACGCAGGCCTCCGGCAAGCATGACGACAGACAGACGTGCCACCATCGCACAGCACGTGTGCACACGCTGAGGCCACAAGACAGCGGGAGCGTGTGGACGGGGCTCACCGAGCCCAGGGGACCCAGATGTCACGAGCCACACTCGGGCTCACTGCAGGAGAGGCACGCACCGTCAGCACCGTCCACGATACTCACATCCTAGCCACGCGCGCCTAGCACCTGGCGGCCTGGCACGGACAGCTCTCTGGGCAGGGACAGCCACCTTCTGCAGCACGGCCGGGGATCCCGAGGCCTAAAGAGGGCCAGCCCATTCTCCAGAGGGATGTGTCTCTACACAAGGAGTGGCTGCACTCGAATGTGTTTGGCACCGGGGAGCAGAGTCAGAGCCAGACACAGCACGCTTACACCGCGGGCCCCGTCACCTGGGCAGGACCAGGTGGGCCCCAGAATGGCATCTGCCACTTGGCCAGTTTTTGCTGCCACTCCACGTAAATCGTCCCTGGGCCCCAGCCTAACCTGGCACCTCCCTCGCAGGACGCCCCTTCAGGCCAGCCAGCTTTGCTGTGACCCCACCAGCCCATGACAGCCACAGAACTGGCCTCTGACGCAGGGCCGAGGGGCGGCTTTCTCCTCTGCCCACAGTGCCCACCCCTTGGGGGCCTCTCAAATCCCCGTCAAAGACTCTTGGTGGCACACAGCACGCACGAACCCTAGCATAGTTACAGCGCCACCACAAAACTTGAAAAATGATAAAATTAAAAAATAAAATTAAAAAAATTTAAATTAAAAAAGAAAAAAATGGTAAAATGACTAGCATTTTACTTTATAAACAGGCCACACACATCCTTGGAGAGATGGCTGGTTTCCGGGGCTCGGGCAGGGCAAGGGCAAGACGAGGCTGGAGCACCCCACACTAGGACACACGTGGGGAATGCTGACAGGCCTCCGGGCAGCCCGCCGGTAGGGAGGGGCAGGGGGTGTGTGCCTGGAACAAAACAAGAATCCGCGAATCCACGTGGCCCCAAATAAATGAAAAGTAAGGAGATGGGCAGGGGAAGCTCCACGTCTCAGGGAGTGACCCCTGAGAAATTGAGGGGGAAGGTCACCATCTAACGAACACTCCGCGATGATTCAGGCAGGACTCATTAAGCACTGCTAACGTCGGTGGGAAAACCTGCCGAGGAACAGGACATTTCCATGGTCTCAAAGAATCTCCTGCAAGACACAGGTTAATCACAAAGGGGAAACAACCACTCTATGCCAGGGTCCCCAACCCCTACTGGGCCACAGACCAGGACCACCTGTGGCCTGTGAGGAACCAGGCCGTCCAGCAGGAGGTGAACGGCAGGCAAGGGACTGAAGTGTCATCTGTGCCTGCAGCTGCTCCCCAGCACGAGAATCGCCACCTCAGATCATCAGGCACTAGATTCTCATAAGTGCACCGGTCCCTGGGGCTACAAAGGCCGGGGACCGCTGCTCTCTGCAGAAGCCTGCAGAGCGTGGCTCCGTAGTGCAGCGGTGAGCACGTCTGCGTGACACGCAGAAGGCCCTGGGTTCGCGCCCCAGTGGAGCCATGGTCCATGGTCTACGGCCACGCCACCCTGAACAAGCCCGATGTCTGACTTCGGAAGCTGAGCAGGGTCGGGCCTGGTTAGTACTTGGATGGGAGACCACCTAGGAAGACCAGGTGCTGTAGGTGTAAATAATAAAATTTTTTTTAAAAAGCCTGGCAGACACCGACTCGAGCAAGTGATCAAAGCAGGTACAGCCGGTCACAGGACACACACACCATGCACCGTGCTGGGCAGGACACGGCGTCCTGCCTGCACCCCACAAATGCCCGGCCTGACTTGAATCATGAGGAAACACCCCGTGAACCCGAGCAAAGCGAGCCTCACGACGGGCCCGTGTCCTCCGGGAGCGCGCGGTCGCGATGGAGAGGCAGACGCCAACGTGACGACTAAGGCAACACCGACCCGAGCTCAGGAGAAGGGCTGACTCCGGGGGGCCGTCCCGAAACCTGAGCGAGCACCAGGCTCAGACGCCAGCACCGCGCCACACCACGTGTCCTGCGGACCCCCGCGCTCCACACATCCTCTGTGAACACTGGGGACCGACGAGCCCCACACGGGCTTGGCCAACTCCAACGTGGAATGGTCATCCTGTGACGAGTCACAGTTTTAAGAAATAAAGCAGAGCGTGCTCAGTGTAAACGTGACCTCGGTCACACGGTGCTACGCAGAGCGCCAGTCACGGCCACAGCAGCAGACGCACATGAGGCGAGCACAGCCGTGGAGGACATCCCAGGTGGCCACCGCAGTGCCCTTCCAGGAGCCAAGATGGGGATCGGGTGCCGGGCAGGAGAGAAGGGACCCCAGCGTGTGACATCTCAACCTCCGAGGAGCAGGACACCTTACTCGGGTGTTCTAACACACACGTTCGAATCCCAGCACGCTGGCTTCCGGTGCCACCATCGCAAGGTGCCCCATGCGGGGGCGTGAAACAGAAATCTGTCCCCACAGCACTGCAGGCCACAAGTCAGGAGTCGAGGTGTCGGCCAGTGGTCCCCTCTGGGGGCCTCTTCCGGTCTGCACCCTCACAGGGCCTTCTCTCTGGGTGTCAACCCTAATCCAGAGTGACCTCACCTTAATTTATATCTTAATTACATCTGCAAAGACTCTCTTCCCAAACAAAGTTATGTTCACAGGTCTTGGGGGTTAGGACTTGACCCTGTCTTTTAGGGAGGACACAATTCAATCCACAATGCGGAGCCAGGTTCCCTTCATAAGAAACCAAACAATCAGGAGGGACTGTCATGGTCACAGAGCATTAGGCACAGGGCGTCCGTCCTCCACAGTCAGCTGACGAGGCTGCGAGGGGCAGCTCAGCGCCCAGGGGGAGCGCGGGCTCGCGTAAGCAAGCTGAAACAGGGCCGGCTGGGGGCAGGTGCCAGGAAGGACGCAGGACCCCATCAGCGGCAGAGCGGCCTGTAGGGGGCACTCAGGGAAGCCCTTCTGAGGGGCTGGCAGCTGAGCGGGCAGTGCCAGAAGCGGGGCAGAGCAGGGCATCCGGTGCTGAGGTGGACGCAGGGGCCAGGTGTGGGCAGGCTGGACAACAGGCGCGGGAAGAGAGGGCGCCCTACCCTTGCCGCCCGCTGGCCTGGGAGAGGCGAGGGCAGGAAGCAGGGCCTGCACACTGCACAGGACCCCAGTGACGCTGAGCTTGTGGGCGCCTCCGGAAGCACGGCCGACCTCCCACGTCCCCCCCGTGGCTCTGGCACTTCGGTCCTTCACTCCCACGCACACATAGCAGGGCGTCACTTGGGCCCAGGGGACACCCTCTCCTGCGCGTCCAGTGAACTCAGACCAGAGGAGGCACGGTTAACAGCCTCGTGTCTACTCTCCCTCCAATGAGAAGTTCAAAGCCACCTGCCTCGCCTCCAAATGTACGGGTCCTTCGACCAAAGCACAGACTCAGCTGACAACTCGCAGGGTCCCCCTCTGCCCCTCTGGCCCGCTCCTCCACCACCGCGCCCCGCTCAGGCGCCGCTCTGTGAACCCGGGCAGCGTGGCAGTCTAAACTGTCCCTTCCCGTCCTCTAGGCACCCCAACCAGCCTCGGCAGGGAGTAACCACAGAGCCCCACCTCAGAAACGCCAGCCCCAGAGCCCTCCGGGGCCTGGGCTGCAGGGGGACGGGCCCTTGCCACAGAACTCACCGCGACCAGCAGGACCAGGGCCTCTGAACTGGTGCTCTGGCCGCCGGTGCTGGCGTCCCCAAGGACACCGGTGGCTCTGCTCTTCCTTTCGTTTGAGTCAGTGCAGCTTTTGTAAAGCCACGAGTGCATGTCCTGAGCGGTCCTCCCAGAAGACCACCCACCTGCCCGGGCTCAGATGGGACCCAAAGTCTGGGGCCAAGGTGTCGGCGGCCCAGGCCCCCTCTGAAAGCACCGGCGGGGCAGGGGGGGCGCAGTTCCAGGCCCTTCCGGCAGCACCTCAGCCTGTGGCAGCATCTCTCCCGTGTCCCCAGGCCACTCTCTGTGTCCATAACTCCCCTTTCCATAAGGACACCAATCATTCGGACTAGGGCCCCCCCCCTGCCCCAGCATGACCTCATCTTAACTATTACAGTGCCAAGGACCTCGTTTCTGGTAAGGTCGCATGCTGAGGTACTGGGGTTAGGACCTCGCGTTTTCAGGGGACACAACTCAGCCTGTGACAAGCCACATGTGCTTCCCATGGCCATGCACTCGGTCTCAGAAAGCAGTGGCGTCGTGTCCCCGCCCCCCGCCCGGGGCCCTCGGCTCCAGGTCTGCGCTGGCCGTTTCTTTACGCCGCACGGGACGCACCGCTGCTCACTGACCGGTCTACTCTCCGCGACGCCACCCCCATGCCACACCTCCCAAGATGGCTGACGAACTGTCATTAAGTCACCACGGACACTATCACGTCACTACAGAGTGTTCCCAGCTAAGCCACACAGTGGTGTCTGTTCCCCAGAGTTAATAATTTCCTCCTTTTTCTCATGTGCAAACTTTGTGCCCAATATAAATTCTTCCCCCAAAATCCCCAAAATCATAGAACTTGACAAACGAGCTTCATTTTGTAAAAACCATCGGGACGCCCTCAGCCCTTCTGCACCTGGCTCCGCAGCCTCCACTCAGGCTGATGTTGTCACCCTGCCCTCATCCTGTGGCTTCCTGAGCAGGGTGCCCTGGGCAGGCGGGTGGGTGACACCCATGTCCCTTCCCCCGGATGCCTGCCGGGCTCGCAGGAACTCCTCCCTCCCCATGCTGGAAGATGTGCCCGGGGCCTTGGGACAGTCGCCCCGGCCTGGAAACCAGCCAGTGGGGCCTCAGGGATTTGCTGGCGTCACTGCCAAGTCCCTCCCCACCTTGCCCCATGCATTCCTGGAGCGGCCGGTGGTCTGACTCTGTGCCCCCAGGCTGGCCCCTGACCCCTGCCACTCTCTCTGCGGCTGCTGCTGAGCACCTTCCAGGACTGGCTCTGACTTCATCGTCCAAGCGTGCCTACGAC